TATATATATATATATATATATATATATATATATATATATATATATATTATAATACAATTCTTTTTTATTTATTTAAATGGCTGTTGAAATAACTTGCTTCAATCGTGCTGAAATATGACACGAAAAAAATTCCAGGATAATAATAATTTGTGGTCAAAATATATTTTTGCAGTTTTTAAACGTGACCGCTATTAAAGAACTATTTGTTTTATAAATTCGTAAGTGCGTAGGCCGTAGGCCGAGGTTCAGCGGAGGGCGAATCCTAAAGCGTCCATACGCCACCGTACGTAGGTAGTATACGGAGTAGTAGACGGGGGCTCTATAACGAGTACAAGATCTCGTAATTGTTCAATATGTAAGGCATGCTTCCTGGTGTAGTGGAAATGAGATACTTAAAGCATTGTTGTATTTCGACCGTCTGTTACATTACTTTTTCTTGGAAGCTAAGCCAAACCGAAGTATTTAGAGGAAAAAAAAAAACTAGACAATCGCACCAGATTTCTGGTCTCAAATTAGGAAATATCCTACACTATGAATACCAGAATAACGATAATTTGGAGGGCAATACCTAAAATACATAGACCAGAACCAACTTAGATATGATTGTTTCCTAAATTGGCCCAAATCAGGTATAGGACTCGGAACCTCCTCATCAAGTGCCCATAGTACTAACAGTTGTGCCATCGAAGAGCATAAGCACATCCCGTACCTTAAACCCGACCACGCACCGCAGGCCGAGGCCGACCCCAGCATAGTATAGGACTTGTACTACTATTGAAATTCTCAGTTTTTCAACTGCAGCCTACACTTGTATTTGAAATCACGACTGTCCATCTGTTAGCAGCCTTTGTTTCGCAATTTTTCAGGCAGTGGAAACCTTTCGACTTTCGGTGAAACGTCTGACCGTTTGTGTATATAAACTTCGACTTCAATCAATTCACATTTGAAGTACAGAAAGGTAAACTCATGTTTTATATATGGACAGTTTATACACGATTTTTAGACTTTGGTGGCCTTAGGGTTTGTACTATATAAGCTGGACGAAGAGGTCCCGGGTTCAATTTCCTGTAGGGGCCTACCGGGAATCGAACCGTTAATTTGGAAAATTAACTTTCCTAAACTGACTCTGCTCTGGTTGTCCTGGTTAGTGCCTCGGAGAGAATTCCGTTGCTCTGGTACGCATAGTAAAGGAAATTCCCTAGTTAATACCAGGAAATTGATGTGGTTGTCTGGCACACTTGTTGCTATTATGTATAGGCATAACGATGATATGGTCTAAATTAGAACAGTATGTTTTTCTGGTGCTCGAAAACGACAGAAACTAATTATTTTACATACATGCAATTATTATCAGTCATATGAACAATAAGCAATTAACAATGTTCAAATATAGCCGTTTAAAAATGGAGTATGTCGGTCTGATTTATGCATTGCACGTACGATACACTAGCTATTGAAAAATAATTTGGCTTCAATCATTTAGTCACACTGTCGACCTAAAGCCGATGCCAATCTACAGGTTGATTGCGCTTAGTATTAAAAAAGAACTGGATTCCTTACTTGTTTTACAGGAAATGTATCCAGGCAATGAAAATTGACGTCATCATTACGCCACAATAAATGTGCCTGTAGTTGGCATGCTATTAACATTTACAAAGACACTGGATACCTTTATTGTCTCCTACGAGCAGGCAAGTGTGCCAATTACAAGCATGTCAATTTTGGTGGCACTGAACTGGTACCTTTAGACATTTAGCAATATAGTGATGGCTACAACTAATTTATCAATTTCTAGAGACGTATTTAGCTGTCAGCTTAATTTTTATGAAGCGACGATGATGTTCATAGAATATTGATTAAGTGCTGTGGGTATGGTATGGTGTAACGGGCTGGTGTCCGCAACTCGACGTCCAGTCGCCTTTATTGCATATGGGTGCTATGGATATATCCGGTCAGCGCTTTGTAACTATTGTAACACGATCTCGTACCGAAGTGGCTGAATTCTACAACCACAGACGATTTGTTGAGTTTGCAGATCGCGGTGGTAAGACCGTCTAGTAGTAAGTAGCGAAGACTCTGGTTCGTTAGTTTTTTTGGAATAATATTGTACAGGGGCAGAA